ATGGTGGTGTGTGATGGGCCCCAAATTCCAAGGTCGGGGAGGCAGGGACAGGGACATCCATGGAGCTCACTCTCCAACCAGCCTACTCCAATGGGCCAGACCCAGGAAAAAGTAAGAACCCTGTCTTAAAATCAACATGGAGGGACAGGAGAGATGAGATGGCTTAGTCCTCTTGCAGAGGGCGACCCAAGTTAGGTTTCTAGCACCTGTGTTGGGAGCTTACAACTGCCTGTAACTCCAGCTCTAGGAGATCTACACTTCTGGCCTCTGGACGCACTTACACACAACACACACACACACACACACTTAAAGATAATATAACTATCCCAGAGGTTGGTGGCATATACTTTTAATCCCACCACCCAGAAGGCAGAGGCAAGTGGATCTGGATTTGAGGTCAGCCTATTTTACTTGGCAAGTTCCAGGCCAGTCAGGGCTACATAGTGAGATCTTGTCTCAAAAACAACAATAGTACCAAAAATCTTTTAAAAAACGAAGTGGAGAGCAAGTGAAGAACATATTAGAAGCTAACCTCTGGCCTCCTGACAAACTTGCACACATGTACACACACATATGTATGTACGCACCAAGAGACAGGTATTTCAAGAAGGGTCTGGTATCTCCACCAGGCTGTGCCATGGCTTCTGAGCCTTGGACTATTCTTTGAATATCAAAGGGTCCAGAGAGGATGTGGGAGGGTTTGGTCAGTGAGTGCTTGTCCTCCTCGTGCCTAGGAAGCTGGGAAGGCTTCCGGGAGGAGGGGTTGTATTGTCCCCTATTTTAAGACTGCATGAAGAAAGTGATAAACATACCCAGATCACCCTATATGTCATCTGATGTGTCCTCATCACGCATGGTCACTGTCTAGTCCAAGCCAAGGGTGAAACGACTCAAGACCCTTAGGGGAAGGCGGGGAAGAGAAGGCTAAATAAGCCTAGGCAACTGGATTTGCCATTTACCAGCTGAGAGGCTAGGCAGACTCACTCCCATTCAGTCTTCTCTGAAAATATGAGGGTAACAATCCCCAGCTCCCAAGGATCAGGGCAAGGGTCAAACCAAGTGACATAACAATGTGCTTACCATACAGCCTGGCAGAGCACATGAGCAATAAAAAGGAGCCTTGTTGCGGACTGCTGTCCTCTTGTTATTAGAAGCGGGGGAGTGGCGTGTATCCTGCTGCTGGCTTTCGAGCTCTAGGTCAGCCTACTCCACAGATGATGACTTTCCATTGAGTCACCTGCCGTCCTCTCCCATCTGGGGTTCTCGGGGTGTAGGGCAGCCATGACTCTGGGATGGGTGGATATGCCAGCTTTGTCCCCTGACACCAAGAGAAACCCCAGCAGCCTTAGCGCTGGGCAGGGGGCTTAAGATGAGCATATGGGGTGGAAAGTTATTTTCAAGCCCTCTAAGCAGGGTGTGGCGGCGCATGCCTGCAGTTCCGGCACTGGAGGAGTAGAGACAGGAGGATCAGGAGTTTGAGGCCAGCCTGAGCTGAACAAGACCCTGCCTTAAAATGAACGGAGCAAACCATCCAAACAGCAGCAACAACAAAATGCCACCAAAACAATGTAGATTGCTCTAAGGGGGCAGGCAGGCAGTCTACTTCTTGAGGCACAAGAGGAGAAGCTGTAAGCAGAGGGGACCCAGCTCAGGGTAGTGACTCTTTAGTGTTGGGTTATCTATCGTCTCTTTTCCCAGCTTAGCCCTCTGTAAGAGAGCAAGAGCCCTGTCAACAAGGGTGCTGAAGGGCTGGCAACAGAGGTTGGACAGACGCAGTTTCCAAACATTCCCTTTGACAGATAACCAGCCCAGAAGGTATCAGGCACCGGCTGGGCCCTGCAGGGGAGGCGCAGCCAGGCTCTCGATGGCATGACAGGAATCTAAACAGAGGTGATTTATTCCCTCACCTCACTGACAGGGTTTCATCCTTCCATTTTCCTTCCTGTCTAGCAGGGCAGAGCAAACGATCTTTCGGTCAGCTGGCAATGCTCCATGTTTTCTGTATTTGGTTTTTTTAAATGTATCTGTACATGAAACTTGAGTCTATTAGATGGATGGATGGATGGTAATGCAGAAAGTGTCTCCCCTTCTTTCAATGTGTCTGTTATGTGTCTGTATGTGGGAGTTAGAAGTCAACCTTAGGTGTCCCGCCTTAGGAGCCATCCACTTTTTCTTTATTGATGGCATTTATTTTGATCCTGAAAAACAAATACATATTATAATGTTTAATAGGGTTTTAAACTGTTTATGGTCTTAAAAACAAAAGTACAGACTATATTTTGTCAACTTTAAAACTTTTACTTTTTACATTTTACATTTTTACGTTTTAATCATTATTTTATTATCGCTATTATTGGGTTTTTGAGACAGGGTCTCTCTGCATAGCCCTGGCTGCCGTGGAACTCGTTAGGTAGACCAGGCTGCCCACAAAGTACTAACAGAGACCCACCTACGTCTGCCTCCTGAGTGCTGGGGTTAAAGGTGTGGGCTATCACTACCACTCCCCGCTGTAAATATTTTATTTCTTAAGATTATAATATAATTACACAATTTCCCCTTTTTCTTCTCTCCAAATCTTCCGAAGGACCCCATCCATCTTGCTATTTCTCAAACTCTTTTTTGTTGATTGTTGGTGTGTGTGTGTGTGTGTGTAAATGCAACTTGCTCTATCTGTATGATGCTATTTGTTTGTATGTTTTCAGGGCTGACCACCTGGTATTGGGTAATCATTCAGTGAGCTCTTCCCTGGAAAAGATGATTTCTCCTGCTCTTAGCATTCCTTAGTTGCCTGTAGCTTTTGGTGTTGGGTAGAGACCTTAATCCACCTTGTGCTTTTGAGATAGACTCCCACTGGAACGTGGGGCCCGTTGACTTGGTTGGGCTGGCCGGCCGGTGAGCTCCAAGGCTCTTCCTGTCTCTATCTCCCCAGCACTGGGGTTATGCGCGCGCAGCATCATACCTGGCTTTTACAAGGGCTCTGGGGATGGAACTCGGGGCCCCCTGCTTGAGCAGTGAGCACTTTAAACACTATCTCTCTGCCTCCTGCTCCTGTTTTTTTTTTTTATCTGATCTTTCAGGAACTGGCCAGATAGGGATGTTTCCCAGGTGAGAGGCAGAAAAATGTGAGCAACCTTTACTCTTCCATGCTGAGCACAGAGCCCCACTCCCTGGCCCAGGGCCTTCCTAGAGAGCCTCACACCTGCCTCACCCTCCTGTGGACCCCACCTGAGAGAGAACTGCTTGTGCACTGGCACAGGAGCTTCAGTGAACAAAGTTTACTGGAGCTAGAAGGCCCTCCCACCTGTGGACTTCCTGTCCCTTAAGACTTCTGCCATAAAAGGTGTCATCTCACTGGAGGAAAGGGACTCCCCGGGCTCCTTCTCTCACCCTGAGTCATGGGTGCATTGAGCAAATAAACTGTAAACACAACACTTGCTGTGGTTATCAACGGCATTAGGTTAACTGATGGAAAGCATGGCGGACGAGCACAGCAGGCACAGCCCTGTGTGCTGGGTTTGCAGGATGTGACCCCTGCCTCTGGCTGCCTTCGGATCTCTGGGAAATGACTGCTAGGGGCCGTACAGAAATTAAGGGCGTTGAAAATGAGAGTGGTGAATGGCAGGCTCAGTGTCCCAGAGACAGTGTGACTGTGAGCACAGAGAAAGACCACAGCAAGGTGGCTTGAGCTTTTCTCTCCAGGGAGAGACAAAGGGCGGGGTCACATGAGAGATCACAAGGCCTGTGGGGAGTGGCCTGGTCTAGCTTGGCTGGAGTGGAGGAAAAGGCACAATAGAGCCAGCTGAGGAATGTCCCTCTGTACCACACGGGAGCCAGGGACTAACAGGACAGTGGCCTTTGGGAGCCGTGGTGGCTCCAGCCGTAAGAGAAACACTGCTCCATCATCTTGCCACACTCTCCCATATGACTCTACAGACTCCAGTGTGAAGTCCACAGCCTTTCTCCTGGGTTTTAGTCTTTATGATGTGGTCTCTCCATGTGAAACATGGTCCCCAAACCAATGAGTCTGACTGGTTCGCAGAACCAGTAGACCCCTGGCATCCCACTGAATTCAGCCTGCTGAATTCCCTGGTCTCCCTTGTTTTTTTGGAACACTAACATCTTTGAGGGTTATGGAAGGCTGATTTTGTAGACCTTTCCTCAGTTTGGGCTTGTCTGATGTTTTCTCATTGTAAGTTAAGTGTTCGGGTAGAAATTTCACAGAAACGGTTCGTGTTCTTATTGCAGCTTATCAGGTGGAACATGATCCCATCTATCTTGTTATCGAGGCTATTGATTTTTCTTGACAGGTCCTGGTTCAGATTTATCTACACAAATAGCACTTAGGATAGCAACTCTGTGTAGACAGCAGCCCGGGAAGACAGCAGTCTTTTTGTGCTCACATGGATTGGCGAAGACCTCTGTCCCAGAGTCTTCATGGGCCTTGGCATGGGCCAGCAGAGCAGACACTGGTGATGTAGACACCAAGCATCTGGGATGTCATGTGCCTCTGCAGTTTGCCATGGGCAATATGGACAAGCTAACTGAGCCTGTGGCTGAGGCACTGTTCATTTTTACTTCCTTGGGATTTACTAGGGTCTGGATTGCAATGGCATATGCCACAGCCTTGGCACTTGGCCTATAGCTTCCAGAACCTTCCTTCTGATTCTTGGCAAATCATGTGTTTTTCGGGAACTGTTTATGGTTTCTATAATTTCATTTCTTCTGTGATTTCTGTGCTATTGGGGGGGGGGTGTTGTTCTGTGGTCTCCAAATTTGGCTGTGTCTACTCAGTAGCTGGACAATAATGTTAGCATTGATTCCCTGGCTCAGGTTTTATGTAAGGTTTTTTCATCACAAACTTACTTACTTTCTTTTCATTTTTAAGTAAAGACTTGAGGCCAAGCAAATTTGTCAACAAATTTAGGATCCACTGATGTCTCTTGCTTTAAATATTACCACAAAGGCTACTAAATGGTGATTTTATTTCTTTTCTTTTTCTTTTTAATATGGAATGCTTCACAAATTCACATGTCAATTTCACAGGGGTTATGCTAATTTTCTCTGTATCATTCCAGTTTTAGCATATGTGCTGCCTAAGTGAACACTAAATGGTAACTTTCCAATTCTATAGTTTATCTTCATTGGTTGGCATGCTCTTGTTAGGTTGAGCATCTGTCTATCTATCAATTGTCTATCTACATATCTATCATCTATCTATCTTCCTACTATGGACTCATAGATTCCAAATTTATTTGATGGATTTATAATTTTTTTGCTGTTACATATATATTTATATTTATTTATTTTTACTTTATATCTGTGAGTGTTTGACTGTATGTGTGTTTTATACAGTGCCTGAAGAGGCTAAAAGATGGTATTAGATCCCCTGGAAGTAGCATTAAGGATGGTTGTGAGCAGATAGGTGGGTGCTAGGAACAGAACCTGGGTCCTCTGCAAGAGCATCAAGTGTTCGTAACCACTGAACCATCTCTCCAGCCCCCATGACATATTCTACTGTTTGAACCATTCCAGATTTGGCTAATTTACGCACATTATTCAAGTGGGCTTCTGTGTCCCCCTGATTTATCTCCATCACTCTTTGGGAGCTCCCTGATGCTCTAGCTTGACAATATTCTAAGTTTATCTTACACACTTACTGATTACTTCAGTTTCATCTCAGTTGCTGTGATGAAACACCATGACCAAAAGCAACTTAGAGGAGGAAAGGGTTTATGTCACCTTACAACTCCAGGTCACGGTCCAACATGGAGGGACGTCAGGACAGGAACCTAAATCTGAAAACATGGGGGAGACACTATTGCTGGCACAGTACCTGCCTTTCATGCTTAGCTAGCTTTCTTATACAGCCTAGGACTGCCTGCCCAGGGAATGATGCCATCCATTATGGGCCGAGCTCTCCCTGTCAATGGACAATTAAGATAATTCCCTCTAGGCATGTCCACAGGGTGATCTGATCTGATCTGGGCAATTCCTTCATTAAAACCCCCTCCTCTGTCTGTCGGTAGTGAGGTAGCCTCTTATCCCAGCACTCAGGAGGCGAAAGGCAGCAGAGGCAGACATATCTCTGTGAGTTCCAGGCCAGCATGGTCTACAGAGTGAGTTCAAGGGAAGCCAGTGCCACATAGAGAAACCCTGTCTCAAAAAACAAAACAAAACAAAATCACCCAGACATACATACAAATAAAAGATGCCCCCCTTTAAAGGAGCCATTGGGTCTCCACATGCCAGGCACAGTGAGTGTCTGTGAGCATTTCTGAATGTCAGTCTGATGGGTTATGTGTCGAATATTCTTCACAGATAGTTGTTCTTAGAGAATCTAGATGGGGCATAGATGTATCTTATTAAAAGGTGCCCTGTATTTGTATAACCAACAGTGTTAGTGTTAGGATGTGCCCCCTCGGTGACTGTGGGTACTCTGCAATGTCACCTCCACAGCTAGAGCCTTCAGTGAAGTTCTTGACTAGGGGCCAACAGAGAGCCTCATCTTGCCCTTTTTAACATCAGAAAAAGAAGAAGAAGAAAAAAATCCTCCAGCTTGCAGTTTTTAGACAGAGGCCAAGTCTGCATGTCAGTAGTATCAGAGCTGAATGTATTTAATGTAATAATTGTCCCCTGTGCTACTGGTGCATTTGCCCTTCAGGAACAATGACTTCTGACAGAATGACTGTCCCCAAGCTCCACAAAGTCACAGAGAGCAAAGTACATTATGGAAAATTAAAGAAACAAAATACCATAAGGAGGGTATTAGGGACCACAGTACTGCTCAGGAGACCTAAATACCATATCCAGTCCTCCACCATGAAAGCCAGTCAGCTGTTTCCAGGAAGTGGCTTTTCTGATAACACATGGCCTTCCTTCAGGATGAGGTAAAATACCTTTTAGTATAGGCCTGAAGCCATTTCTATGTTTGATCATTTTAGCATAGACATCCAGGAGCCTAAGGACTTGTGCAGGGTGTTGCCTATCTTCTCCATTGCCTCTTCCATAGTTTCAATTTGTACATATACTTAAATTTTTCCATGTGTGTTACTTGCTTGTTTATCTCTCTCATCCCCATTAGACTTCAATCCTTGCCCTTCTGTACCATGAGCCACAAAGTCACAGTTGTTTCTATATGCCTGGTACAGCGAAAAAGATCAAGAATTATCTGTAGGACGGATGAGTGCTTCTAAGGAGTCTACTTAAAATGTAGACTGGAGGTTGACAAGATGACCCACCAGGCGAGGACACTGTTATCAAGGCTTACAACCTAAGTTCCACCTCAGGGACCCACACAGTGCAAAGAGAGAAGGAAATTAGAGGAAGGGAAGGGTTTCAACAGCAGCACTTGGTGGGAGCAATGGCAAGCATGAAATAACCTGAGTCAGCCACACCCCAAATCATGGCCCACAAGGCCATGAGTTAAGAGGAAAATCAAGACTATTCCATTCAGACATACATTGGGCATCTGTTTTATTTCATGCTCTGTTTGTGTCACTATTTTTTGTAGCTAGTTGTCAGTTATTATATGATGGATGCTACTTTCTCATCACTAAAATGCAAATTTTGTGCAGGACTGCTGAAATTAAGAATTAGGATAATGTAGCCTAAGAAGTGGCGGGGTGGGAGGGGTGGGGGGGAGTGACTTTTCTGTTGAATGGGATGCTCACCTGATGGAATCAAATGACGCAAATAAGCATGTGGGTGCGCAATATAAATATTAGTCACATGGTTGAGTCAGAAAAAAAATCATTTCACTTACATTCAAACCTCTTAGTTAATATTTTGTATGCTTCTGTTTAGTTTACTTAAAGCACATTTGGGTATTGCATTAGGCAGGCTTCTCTAGAAGGATAGAATTTGCAGAAGGAGTATATACTACATGTGGGGACTTATTAGATTGGATTATATTATACTTATTATGAATGTTATATTTATTAGATTGATCTATGTGCTGGAGAGGCTGGGATTCAGCAGCCACTCAGTCTATGGACGCCTCTGTCACAATCTGGCACTAAACTCCCCAATTTTTAGCCCACAGTTTAAGGCCTATGAAACTGGGTTCCCATAGCAACGAAGGATGCAGCAACAGAGTAGATGCACTCACCAGCAGGAAGCAAAGATGGGCAATGAAACGCCCTGCTGTCCCTCTGGTCTCCTTAATCCTTTCTATAAACACCCTCTCAGACCCTTCCAGAGCCCCCAGACCTTCCAGAAGTATGTGCCTTAGTTAATCCCAAATCCAATCAAGTTGCCAAGCAAGATTAACTGTCACTGATGGATGATGGCTTGTGTCCTGGTTGAGCAATCTCAGAAACATAAATGAGCATGTTTGCCTTTCCACAATGTCAGAATGACAAAAAATTCAAAAGGGACATCAGTTTTGTTGACTTTAACTCACCAAGTACTACCTGATTTCACCTAGTATTTATGGCCATTGGCAATAATGGATTCTTTTATTCTAACTCTAATTACTAATATTAACTCTGAGATCACACAATAGTATATAAGTCACAAAATGACTTAAATGGTTAATTACAACTGTTGGGGGGAGGAGGAAATGGAGGGGGCAGACACCGTGGCAAACATCTTTAATCAGGTAGAAGAATCTTCTAAATTCGAGGTCAACCTGATCTACAAAGTGAGTTCCAGATTAGCCACAGCTACAGAGTGAGATTGTAGAAACAAAACAGTGTTGTAGGACTCAAAGGGTTTCCTGAAGACAAGCTCAGGGTCACAGCAATTGGTTGGTTAAAGTAACAGAAGACCAATTAAAGAGTGGGCTCCAGGCTCACTGGATCTACACCAACCACAATTCAAGAAGTCTTAAGTCAGGTAGGGGAGGAGGGTCTGTCTGCTCAGCTGAAGCCCGGAGGACAGAATCAGGGAGTTTGTCCCTTGTTGATCCAGTGACTTGCCCCACGGGATGGTCTGATGATGGGCAGGTGGGTGCTAACGTAAACCAGTATTAGCCGTGCTTTGTTTTATAAGGTCCAGCTGAGGGGGTTGTATAGTGACTGGCCAGATGTGCACAGTAAACTCACTGGCCAGTTTTTGTTTTTGTTTTTTTTTTCTGATATGGTTTTGATATACCCATGTGTTCTTGATCTAATCTGGTGAGTTCATAGTTGGTGCTCTTTTTATTTGTGTAAATATCTTATCAGTTTGTGCCTCACGGTTTACGCTGGACAGACAGTGACTGTTAACTTACACAAGCAAGATACAGAGTCATTCTACCTCGGCATTGATACTCACTATGGAGCCAACTGCTCTTGTGAAAATGGAGTCACTTAGGACAAGACACAGTTTGCAAGGAGTACAGCTAGGGAGTCAGTAAGAGGAAGGTATAGCTTTGCCTTGGGGTTTCTAGTGCTGTGAAGAGACGCCGTGACCACAGCAACTCCTATTAAAAAATTGAGTTGGGGTGGCTTACGTCTTCACAGGTTTAGCTCGTTATCATGACGGCGCTACATGGTAGCATGCAGGCAGGCGTGGTGCTTGAGCTGAGAGTCCTACATCTCAACAGGCAGGCACTCGGTCACTCTCCGTGAGAGTACGTGAGACCTCGGAGCCTGCCCCCACAGTTTAACACTTCCTCCAACAAGACCACATCTACTCCAACAGGACCACACGTCTTAATACTGCCACTCCCTTTGGGGTCCATTTTCTTTCAAATCACCACAAACTTGATCTCAGTGTGTGAAGTTTGCTAGCAACTTCCACTCTCCCCCAGCGTTCACCATGCCCACTCATACACTGCATGCTTTAAAATTTGGTACTTGAAAGACTTGTCTCCCTTTGATTAGCAGCATTGAAAATAAGCTTTTATCTCTTTATACAAAGCCAACTGACAAGGAATTTCAATAGCTTTGAAGGGGAAAAATCCTCCTCTGAAGTGTGTGTGTGTGTTTGTGTGTGTGTTTATATTTATACTAAACAGAACATCTTTACTTTTTGTTAAAATCTGTTTTCCGTTGTGGTGTTTTGTGTTTTAGTAAATTTTTGATTTCCTTTGTATGTGCTTACTCTTGCCAGTTTGAGTCATATTCGTGAAGTGCTGTAAGGTTGGAACCACAGAGCAGAAAGAAAACAGAGTATTACCGTA